TTTGCAACTCGTCCGCGAAATTTCGACTATTTCTTCAACTTGGTTGCGCCTCTTTAAAAAAAATCTGTTCTCGATCATCAAAGTAACATTTTATGATCGCCATTTCTTTGATGAAACTTTCATTTCTAGAAACTTTAAGACGTAAGAGGTGTTTCTCTGATATTCTGAGCAAACTGGGATTCAATCACGGATCGGACAAAACTGATGATGATGTTATCAATGATGTGTACAAAGGAAAACTATGGTATCAGTGGGGTCTGTGATATTTGATCAGATTCGGTACAAGATATATTCCGGATTTGAATACAATAAAAAATGTATTTGATTACTTTCAATAAATGCATATACCACTGCAGAAGAAGTTTTGTTTAAATGTGTTGTCATCACTATGTATACAGGGTATATATATCTTCATGAGTTAATGGGAACTATATTTATGGAAAACTAAAACTAGCACGATTCTGAAATTTCGTATAGACGATGAAAAAAACATAAGGAATCCAACTAATGTATCTTCGTTATTGTGAAGCTTCCGGTTTTCCGGAAGTTACGTCATCTTTGTTATTTTGAATGGGAGATTTTATATTTCACAATATTTTTGAATCTCCTTTATGATTCTGATTCAAATTCATGTATCATACCTTGAATGAACCGAGTTTTTCTAGAAAAAGTGACAAATATTGCCATTCGAACATACGCCATTTTAATGCGAATTTCAATTTTCAGTGATATGCAATGATTGAATCGTGAATATTGAAGATTGAATGGATCACTCATCATAATCACAACTACTGAATAATTTACAGGGTGCGATGAATGAATGGGCCCAAATGGTGATTGTGAAACATTAGAAATCACAATGTTTTCGAATGGAAACCATATTTTTTCTTCTCATAATCCAATTCTATCATAAAAATGAGCCCTAGTTCTGCTTTCCTGAACCCAAATCCCATAATTTGGTAGATACATATTCCAGAAAAAACTACTTTATTCTGCCTGAATTTAAATTTTTTTCAGTAGGTATATAGGCTGTGCAAAATATCTATTAACAAGTTAATCTGCGAAGCATAAGAATTCTTTGCCAATATAAGTATTCCCATGAGCTTACACAGGGGGAAACAGACCCATCACAAAAATGAAAATTTACGAATTTTTCAATGGTGCATAGGGGTCACCAAGGTGGTTCTGAAGATACCATATTTGATAGGTCTAGAGTCTTCATAACGGAGATACAGGGCGATCAATCGATTTCGAATAATTATTCATTCGTCTATAAGTATTGAACTACCCAGTATATTCTTCTAAAATTCGGTATGGAGCTTATACTTGGGACGTTGAATTCATTCACCTATCGGGCGAAATGAAAATCCAGGTTCGGCTTCATGAAAAATTTACATTTATTCGAAATATCAAAATAACACACTGTATGTAATAATTGACAGAGTTCATCAAAGGAATCGTGAAGAAGAGGAAAAACTGAGCTGGAATTGATGCTTTTCCTTTTCCCGCCACCAATTCTCATCGTAACAATCATAAACAGAAAGCTAAAAGTATGTCAATTTGAAGAGTTTTAAATTATGAAACCACTTTCAATTTTTTATTTTTTTTTTATTTTATCATATATTCTTGGTGGATGATCGTTCTGAAGAACTTACTAAGTCTCACAGTCTTCATATAACAGAGATTATCGGTTTCGAATAATTATTCACTCGTCCATATGTATTAAACTACCCATCGCAGTAATATTTTCTCAAATTTGGTATTGAGCTTACTTGGGACGATGGATTCATTGACCTATCAGGCAGAATGGAAATACAGGTTCAGCTTCAGGAAAAGTCTCATAGTCTTAATAACAGGGTGAATTATCGAATATTATTCAGTTATCAAAACGTCATAAAAAATGTCCGATTCCATACGCTGGTGGGTACCCACGAGAAAAAAATTTCCACGAAAATACATACGTTGCTATTGTAATTTGTCATAAAAATAAAAATCACTGGTCAGAATAATTCTGCTACTTTTAGTTCCCCATATAGAGATCGTTTTATAACTCATGAAGATATACCCTGTATATCACTAAAAAATGCAACATTCCATAAATATAATCTCAGTTCAAGGTCGTGATAATAAGATCACTGTTATGTTTCGATTATGCAATAAGGAAAAGGTTCTTCACAGTTCTGTTGTAGCAGACGACTGGTCAAAATGATTCCCATAAATCTCGAAAATAATCGTTCAACGAAGTCATAATAATATACCTCATACTTCTACTTCATCCTTCATATATTATAGTTAAAACATGAAGGTTTGGACACTTTTTGGTGTTAAACTGATCACAATGATAATTCATTGTTTGTTGTTTACCTGTTAGCAATGAAGTTGACTTTCTTGAGTCAAATCAACCTCTAGAAGGTTAGTATAACGACTACTATTGTCATTAATTCAATCAGTGAAAATACCTACTAAACTAATATATATCCTTTATCCTGATACCGTTCAGTATTTTCAAGTTTTCCTCTAATGCTCAAGTCATTCTTCCTCATGTTCATTTGACCGATTCAAATTCAATGATTCGGTATGTGCTGTTCATAGCCTGATTTTGGGGAAAAAATGAGGATACTGTGAAAACACAACTTTCCATTGCAGAAAATAATTCGCAGCACAAAGAGGAAGACTATCAGAGAATATATTGCTTTACAAAAGGAAGAAGACTGAAGAAAAATTAATGTAAAGGATACCTCTACAATTTCTGAGGGACTGAAACCTATATGAGTATCGATAGTTTCAACAGGAGTCAGAAGTATATTCTTGATTAGGGAATCTAAAATCAGAAATATTCGAATCGTTTTGCTTTATATACCTTTGAAACGGCTCATGAGATTTCAATCAAATTTGGTACGTTGGCATAGCAATAAACAATTCTCCCAATCTGAATTTCATTTTCGAACTTTGTACTGAGGTTTGTTTGCCTGTATAGGAATGTTCTGGTCTGAGGAACATGTGGTAAGTTTCTGTAAAGACCTTTCAGGGATGTGAATATTTCGGTCAATTTTTCTTCGTCAATTTTTCGTCCCGTCTATTTTTCTTTAATTCATTCACTGATTCAATATATTCGATCCGATAATTTTCTGTTATGTGTCACTTTTATCTTGAGAATGTTAAACATACTTGGTGTGAATCATAATTCCAAGTATACCTTTATTATTAATTTATGAAAATAAGTTAATATGGAACAAACCCAGTAAAATACGTTGCAGATATAATACAAGTTTGTTTTCAAGTACCTATCTATTATATAATCGAGAATGCTTCATGAATTTTGCTTTAAAAAAAATCTCATCTGTCAATCAATTTATCGAATAAAACATCAGATATCATTTTAATTATGAGTTCTGGCACAATATGTAATTTCCATTGGAACTGCTGATCCTAAGCATATATTCAGTATACCAATTCAATAGTTAAGATTCACATCCGTAATTGGCTTGAAACGGAAAATCAACATGAATGGGAGGAATAAAACAAACACCTCCTAACTGTCTAGCCAAACTTGATGTTTCAAGTATCTGAAATTTGTTCAGACTGTGAGTTTGAATAAGCCTTCAAGGCAGAGGGATTTCAATATAATAGCAGAAGAGAAATCCAACAAAATATGAAAAAAAGTTCTTATGGGTTTCGGGATAGAGGGTGTTCAAGTTTAAAAACAATAGTTTTTTAATAATATCTTGAAAACGTTCAAGCCGATTTGAATGAAATTTTCATAGTTCATTTACAAAATTCTCAGACGAACTAGATCTGATCCAGACTCTCCCAGGGGTGTACCCATCAAGCAAGTCAGCTTTTTTCTTGAAGAATCAGATGAACCTACTGAATATACAACATTTCTGTCTCTTGGTATTTTTTCGTATTTTGCTTCGTTTTCGAGAAAAACAGACAATACCATAGCTCGGCATATCTCCGTTCTCCATAAAGAAAAATAGAAATGCTTATAGGTATTATCCAAAAATGTATTGCCCATTATTACTCAGGCAAACAAAAAAGACATAAAATTCGATACCCTCTCTGAAATGTATACGATCTTCAAGTTTTGAAAGAAATATATTTTCAAGATATCGAAGATATTTCAGTATTATTCAGCCGAATATTTCGATCAACCTCAACGTGCAGTTGATCAAAGATTCATCAGTTTGACAACAGCGTGAATTCTATACAGGGTGGAGACTTCAACTGGAATAAATTCGCTACTGGGGGAGTGAATGATTTTTCTGAAAATTCGCGAAACACGTGAACGTTTAAAATGTCATTACCTACATTTGGCGAGCAATATGGGGAATATAACCTTTTAGGGGTAGCTGGAATCAACCCCAACATGTTCATTTCAAATGCAACCCTATGGCTTTTGACCCCTCATTGGAAAGCTGGTTGTAAAAGGAATCCAGCGTACTGATCATATTTCAGTTTGCAGTACGTTTGGAGGTCGCAAAAAATCAAAATATAATTTCGAAGATCAATATATTTTCAACGTATTTTCATAAAAATTTCGACTCTTAGGGTAAGTGATATAGGGCTTTTCCACCAGTTTATCATAACACTTCGTTTTGAACTGTTGATCCGGCAAAAAAACTAAATTTCTTTTTGCGGCTCTATAAAAACACATAGCAGCTGTGGCAAAAAAACTGCCATCAATTGTTCGACACACATTTTGGGCAATTGATACTTTGAAAACAAATTGAGTTTAGAAATTACATTTCAATTTTATGCAACCTTTAAACGTATGAGAAACAAAAATTTGACTAGTACGCTGAATTCCTCTTTCCACCAGCTTTCCAATGAGGGGTCACAAGCCATAGGGTTACATTTGAAAAAATCATGCTGAGGGTGGTTTCAGCTACGCCTTGATATTGCTAGCAAAAAGTAGATAAATACATTAAATGGTTGACGTATGTCGTCAATTCTTAGAAAAAAGTTGAAGTCTCCACACTGTATATCAAATTGCTTACCTTCTGTCGCCAAAAATGCAATGGCCTGATCCATTCCACCACCCTGAGTTCCAATATACCGCTCACATTCAGCACACAAATTAGCAATTTTTTCTTTGGACATGGAGAACTGAAAATAAAAAATATACAGGGTGTTTCATGAGAAGACTCACATAGCCAGATGGTTAATAGGAGAAATCAAGACGAGTTGATGTATATATATGAAAACATTTTTTGACCCTCCATAACGAAGATACAGGGTATTATGTAAAATTGCTATATAACTTTGATGGCCGATATTACAGATATGATTCATCGTAATCTGCTGAAATTTGGCAGCGACGTTTCTCTACTGCAACTATTCAAGATAACATTATGAAAAAAAAAATATCCAGGTCCGGACTTGGGAAAATATCATGTTTCATTGTTATGTCAAAAAAGTTCACTTTATGACCACTTTTCTCGAAAAATTCCATCAGATTCAGAAAGATCAGACAAAATGCTATAAGAACAGCTCTTCAATTTACACGGCACACTTTGACCGGTTCAATAAAAAAATATGGAACAAAATCGTTCGAATGAATTTTAAATTTCGACCTGGCTGATAACTCTCAACTTTCAACTGGATTCGTGTAAATCGATTTTTTTGTAAATTTTTATTGGTTAGAAATTGACAGAAGAGAATAGTTCTGACTTTTTTATGATTCAACATATTAGTTTTTGACCGAACTTCTAGATAGATATGATTACTCGTGACTCTATATTATTAATTTGTTATAAAGTAGGCCCTGTGTTTATTTCATGTAAGGTGGCGTTTGTTGATGAGTAAACACTGGTAATCGAAATATTGCTGCACTCTAGGTGCCACTTCATATTTCAAATGCTGAACAAGACGAAAATCCAAATGCGATTGTATGTTTAATACCATAGAATATTTCCAGACCCAAGAATACATTGCAGTAAAACCTTCACGAGGATGAACAAGGAATTTCGAATAAATAGCTAATGCATCCTTATATCACTTGCAGAAGTGTATCAATAACCAAAAATGGAACTGTGTTTATGCGTGATGGCATAACTAATTTGATAAATCACCATAATATGGGCACATGAATCCTCATGTCGTAATTCCATCAGTTGGTACCTACCTAGTACTAGCCTAGTACCTACCTATCAGTTCGGATCATCAACAAACGTCACGTCTCGTCACATAAATGGGAAACAGGGCCTACTAGATATTTTATCATTACTTCAATTATTATTGAAACCCATAAAGTCAGGAATAATAATATCTATCCGGAATTTCGATAAAAAAATATCGTGTTTTTTCTTCTCGTCTATACTTCTGTTAATTACTATTCAACAAAAATGTAGGAGAAATCAATTCACATGATACCAGTTGAAAGTTGACAGTTATCAGCCAAATCGAAATTCAAAATTCATTCGAACGATTTTGTTCCATATTTTTTTATTGAACCGGTCAAAGTGTGCCGTGTGAATTGAAGAGCAGTTCTTATAGCATTTTGTCTGATCTTTTTAAATCTGATGAAATTTTTCGAGAAAAGTGGTCACAAAGTGAACTTTTTTGACATAACAATGAAACAGAAAATTTTCCAAAGTCCGGACCTGGATATTTTTTTTTCATAATGTTATCTTGAATAGTTTCAGTAGAGAAACGTCGCTGCCAAATTTCAGCAGATTACGATGAATCATTTCTGTAATATCGGCCATCAAAGTTATATAACAACTTCGCATAATACCCTGTATCTTCGTTATGGAGGGTCAAAAAATGTTTTCATATATATACATCAACTCGTCTTGATTTCCCCTATTACCCATTTGGCTATGTGACTCTTCTCATGAAACACCCTGTATATACTGATGGTAATTTTGGGTCCATAGTCCGAATAGCTTGTAATCGATTTAAGAAGGAATTTAAAAAAAGGAATTTTGTTTTCACCGAAGTTTTTCGAAATAAGTACTGATTCCGAATCAATTTTGACACTATGCCTGACGTCGAACAGCATATTATATGCTTCAATTGAAATTGATATTCATCTTAATCGTATTTCAAAGCGACAGTTACACATCATAATGTTTTTTTTGGGGGACAATATCGCATCTAAATAGTACATAATTCATAATTATAGTAACCAAAAATAACCTGTATTTCATACGAACGGTAATCCACCAGATCCGTATTTTATAGCGACAGCAATTCATGATGACCGTATTCCATAACGACATCAAAATATATCTCACGTAGTGACGTATCTCAGTTTTCTAAATTTTACAGGAGAGCCATTCAAAGATTTTCAACATCTCGATTTGCTTATAACTCAGAGGTTTGTTCATGAAAAGTCATTGTTTTTTATTTATTAGTGATTAGTGGAAGAGCTAGAAATAGTTGTTATGATATGGCAACATTCTGAAAAACATCGTCAAAAACGAGTAAAGAAAAAATTTACGATACTAAGTGACGTGTTTGTTAATATGGTCTTTTAGATACGTCCATGGATATGAAGCGGAATCAAATGAATATCAGATCCAATTAATCATTTTTATTGATGAAAAATAGAAATTCATTCGACTTGTACAATACGTTACCATACTCTTTTCAGTACCTTGAGACGTCACCCGAGATATTTTAATTTCCGCGGCAAACCAGATTATGAGATACGTCACTGTTGAAATTTTTAACTAATAATGACTGACGTAACTCCTATAGTTAGGTCACTTAACGAGATTTGGTGGTTAAAAAATTTGAGATAGGCTGATATTTAATTGAACGAAAACCATTGAATATTGAGCTACGCCACTTTGTGAGATCATAGAGTACAAGAATATACAGGATATATCTAGATACGTATATGTCATTTGACGAAGTATCTCAAATTCCGATTTTTATGAGATCCGTCAGTACATGAGATGACCCACGATATGTGAGATATTATACTGGCTTGGTGATTGGAAAATCTATTACATTACGCTGGCGTAATATATCAATCAACGGTAGAACACATCAAATATTATGATAAGCTACTGTTTCTGGTCAATATGGTATGAATAAGTTCCTTCCTAGTCTCTATTTCTTGAAGGTCCTCATGTTTGAGCACAATATTCATCTACTCAACTATATTCTGGCTTCAGTCATCGACTTGAGACTCTTCCAGGTAATATACTAATATAATCTGAATTTGGTAGATCGGGAACCTGTGTTAATTGCTCCAAAGTCGAACCCATTACATTGTTCCCGCATGATATAATCTATGATATAATTATCGTTCATCTATTGTTCTCAATGTTATTAATGTCAGTCCTTAGGCAGATTAATTAGCTCAATGTCGCTCACAGTCATCTGTGATCTATTAGGGATATTGGAAAGTTGTTCATAGGGAAAATCGAGTTTGATAGCGTCACCTGAGATAGAAAATAAATAGTTGTTCCATTAAACAAGGAGAAATAGTTATCCATTATTCAAGGGAGAAAAGTAATAGATTTCAGTTCGAAGTTGAGTGTGTGGAGACAAGAAACTGTAAGCTAAAATCTATTATTTTTCCCGTGCTTTATTCTCTCTGTGACAGAACAAAAGACGACGTAATTATATTATATTGAAATCAGAAATTATTGACGTGAATTTTGAAGTTTTTAACCACCTGCGTTACAGGCATATATCTCTTTATCATTTTTTATAAGTAATCAAATATCTGTCAGTCTGATTCTGTGATTTGATTTCAAATAGCACAATAAAAGCCATCAACAGAGTACCTTTTTTTTGAAATTGTATCTCTTGGAGTGCACGAAAAGAGATTCCTATAATGTTCAGAGAACATGATAGGGAGAGGACGAAGGTATTGTATTTTTTTCTACTTTTGGAGGTTATAAGTGAAAGGTCGTCGACTTTTTCACGGTGTTCTAATGGGGTCAAAGAATCAGTGAGTGTGGCATCACCCACCAGGCGAATGGGTTCTCTCTGGATGGAATATGAAAGCTCCAGCTTATTTTCGGGTGTCGAACTCCATATGTGAGAACAATATTCTAAAACTAACCGTATCAGGGCTTCGAAGATCATGAGAAGTTGTTGAAATGTAAAGTAGATATTCGTTCGCTATAAAGATCCGAGTTTTTGTTAAGCAGCTTCCGCGATGGATCGGCCATGATTAGTGATGATGACTTGTTGGGATTCGTGGTACCAGACAGGTTGTTGGTTCTCCAGGCAAGTCAGGATAAAGGACACTTTGATGGTTCCAAATCACCCCCCATTGATGTTTCTACCATCTTTTATAACTTTTGAACCAATTGATCCAAATGATCAGCTCATTGTTGATGGAGACGTACCCAGAACATCCACCAGGAGGAAGAGTAGTGACCAGGACATTGGCAAGCAAAGGGCCACAACTAGTTAGTGTTCGACTACTTCCAGACATCTTACCATCACAAGCCCATCATCGTATATTTAACTGATCAACAATTGATCCTCCCTTGGCAGTCCCCGCGAGATTAACCCGTCGAGTTGAGGCTCCGCACCCCTTCGTGGTCACTTTGGAGACCTGCAGAACATCTCTTTCTAAAGACTCGTTCATCCAACGAACAGCGAGGCTCTGGAACACATTGCCAAGGGAGGTGTTCCCCGAGGCTTGAGATATATAACCTCCAGAAATTCAAGCAGAACATTACAGGATATCCCCTTTCGTGGGAACCAGAACATAAAAAAACAGATCTCCTAGATGGAATCCATTTAATTTTTAGAGAATTCCTGTCGAGAGAAGAATGTTGCAGGTCCCAAATCTGGATCGTGAAGCACTCACATCCAATTCTACGAGGAATGAGCTCTAACGTAAGTTGGCATAGCTTTAAACGTCACAATTTGATTATATTCCCCATTAAGTGTGGTCTGGCTGTTAATATTACATTCACTCGCAGATCCAGACATTGTCTATTTGCGTTCAAAGTAGGGTCGGGTTTGGTGCTGAGGAAACGTAGATTGTTCGATACAATTACCAAGTTTCTAACCTCAAAAGACAAAGGACCTTAACGAAGTCGCGCGTTATTTGACGTCGGAACTTTGATTTTCCCTTCGCTCGTCGTTCAGATAATCTGGGAATCTTTCCAGAATTGAAAACTGTTTGATGTAGTGGGAAAGGCGCTAATTGAGACGAAAGACGAAAGGGGTTTAGTCCCAGGATTAGCTTAATGGGAGTTGTAGCAGATGCAGATAAGATCGACCTAACCGGGAATTTTATTAAAGCTCAGAAATTCTGTATGTAGGTTAATCGAGGAGGTGGTACAATCATTATTCCAGATTTTTATTGGGATTTTCTTTCCTCGTTTCTATAAAATAAAAATATGAATACTATTTCAATATACGTGTAGTAAGGACAAATCAGATGATTTGCCCAAAAATGTCACTGCATTTAAAGAATTTCAATATCAGAGAGCCCAAAAGAAAAATTCACTAGCTTGTCAGTGACAACTTGGATTGAAAAAGGTTTGGAGAAGAGAAATAAAGGTATATAGAAAAGATATCAAATTTTTACAATTATTCCTGCAAATAGGAACAACTAACAATATTCTAATAATTAGTGATATATCTCACTCAGTCATCTCTAACCTACTTGTCTCTACCAATTCATGGACAATGGCTCTCGACTCTGGAAACCCAACAGACATCATCTACCTAGATTTCAGTAAAGTCTTCGACAAAGTCCCCCACTGCTACTCAAGCTCGAAGGCGCAGGTTTCAACGACAAATTACTGCAGTGGATTGAAAACTTCTTGTGTGACAGAACATTCCGTGTGAAAGTAGGTAAAGACGTATCGATATCATGTAAAGCCAGCAGTGGTGTTCCACAAGGTTCCGTTCTCGGGCCAGTTTTATTTCTAGTTTATACTGCTGATATGCTGTTTTCACTGGAATGTCAAACTAGTGAGTACGCTGATGATACCAAAATATTCGGAAACCCGCTAACACACAGTGCTTCTCTCCAATCTGATTTGGATAAAATAAACCAATGTTGATAAATTCTCGATTTTGCATATCGGAAAAACAAACCCGGAACTCACGTATAGTGTATGTGGTAATCAGCTGATGTCCGGGAACTCGCAGGTTGACCTAGGTGTCACTGTAACTAGCGATTTAAGCTGGTCGGAACACATTTCGAACATTGCTAAGAAGGCAAATAAATCACTTTATCTTCTCAAGACAACATTCTCCAATCCTACGCCTGAATTAGCTAAGAAACTGTACACAACATATGTGAGACCCACGCTTGAATTTGCCGCACCAGTATGGTTCCCTTGGCTCGCTTCGCTCGCACGTTAAAATATCGATCATTAATCGCCCTCATTAATAACTAGTTGGTTAAATAACTATGAATATTTCTTCATTTTTACAATAAATAGTGAAATTTGATGGATGATTTTGTACAAACTTACTGAATACTGCAACAAGAAAAAATCAAAATTTTCATATTGTGTCTCAAACCACTCATATCTTGCGAGAATATTATATAAATGTTTTTCCCGCACTAGTGTGGGAAAACTTTTCTGATAGAAAATGACACTTCCTTAACTAAATTGCGTACGCTTGGAGAAAAATATATTTCCCCGAACCCTTATAGGTGATGTAATTACTCACAAAAACTTCCCAATTTTTTTTAAACTTTGAAACTCACCTCATGGGTATGCGACGTTGCCAGTGCTGCAGCACTGACCAGAGCGCTACTGCTTGATAAGCCAGCACTTTGAGGTACCGTACCACTCACTACTATCCTCATACCCTTTATGGGTCGGTTCTGCGGTAGTACCTCTAGAACGCCTCGTACGCCGCAAAGGAAGTACTGGTACCATTTTGGTGAACCTTCACCAATTGTTATCCTATTGAACAAGAAAAACACTGTTGAATGATGGGTATTTCCGCACCATGATACGAGGTTTTACGTTGCAGAATTACGAAAAAATATCATTGCAGTGTTTTTATCAGTAATATCAGTCGTCCTATTTCAATAAGTACTAATGTTGCCATTTTGGTGAACCTTCATCAATTGTAATCCTATTGAACAAGAAAAACACTGTTGCAATAATGGGTTTCTCCTCAGTATGATATAAGGTTTTACGTTGCAGAATTACGAAAAAATATCATCGTAGTGTTTTTATCAGTAATATCAGTCATCCGATTTCAATAATGTCACCGTTGTTGAGCACGAATGAAACTTCCTATGATGTTCGTGGATAATTTTGCGTACCTATAGGAAGGATTGGGGGAGCAGGTAGATCTTGGACTTTTTTTTCAACTTTTCTATAGACGAACAAGTTTGCGTCGAGTGTCGTTCGACGTTTTTCGAGGTTACGAAGACGGGTTGTGCTGACTGGGCCTGACGAGCTCGTCTGACTGGTATTGCTAGTGATAGAATATAGCAGAGATTTCTGAGGAACATCTCCCGTGGAAGTATCCATAGAATTGTGGAAGTTTGCTGACTTTTCTACGGTGTTCTGGTGGGGTGAAATAGTTAGTGAGTGTGGCATCACCCATACCAGGTGGATTACTCTTCCCTGGATGGAATCTTAGAGCATCAGTATATGTTTGGGTGCTGAACCACACGCATGAGAACAGTATTCTGAAATTCTAGATCATGAGAGCATTGATATAGTGGTCTTCTTGGAAATGGTGGTACCAGACATTGTTATATAGTTTTTTTAATCTATGAGTTTATTGATGTCGTCCCATTCCCAATATTGTGTGTTTTACAATAAAATGACTAAATGGGTGGAAAAACCTTGGATCGTATTTTCATGCATATCTAATAATGTTATTATTGTGATTTAAATTCGTTATCTATTTGAGAAATTCAGCAAAATATATATATTTATATCAAATAGGTGTGTTCGTTTGTTTGCATAGTGATAAGGAAATCTTCATTTGACTATATTTCACATAATAAACACCTACTTAATATTTTTCCATTCACTATAAATGTTTGTTCGTTTGGTGATGAGATGAGAATGAGAAAGTTTTAACGTTTGATATATAAGGAGGAATTCAAGGACTTCATTAAAAAATATGTTTTTCTCAAGATTTAACTCGTTATGCAATAAATATATATGACTTTTGAATAGCTCAAATAAAAACGTATAACTCATTCAGAGACAATAAGCCAAATTCAGTTACATTTCGGAAAAATAGAAATAAATTCCAGGGAAGAAAGAACAATTATTGTTGTTGTCTTGATATTTTCGTTCTCAGGATAAATCATTATATGCTTTCATGAAATATCGTTTTTAGATTTCATATCATACCTATAGGTAATATCTCGGGTAATATAATATCATTGGATTGAACAATCGAGAATACAACTCTCTTGTCACGTAAGTTACTTTTTTGACTCGTAAAAAATTAGATCTAACCTCAAATTTTATTATTGAATACCTATATGCCCTCAGCAAGAGACCCATTGACAATACTCTATATCGTTCTGGAATTTCAAAACTTTATCAGTCACCAAATAGACTGAATTTTGCCAGTACAGAAGCTCATATACAGGGGATCATAAAGAACAATTAATACTTGCAACTTATAGGTATATCCCTCATCGGTTTTAGTAAAAATATAACTGCATAACACCGAAAAAATTCAAGGAGTGTTTCCTTGTGACATTCTAGCAAATAAAATTCATATAAACATGTCCTAACTTGCTCCGTTTTTGAGATACAGGATGTTGAAGTTGGAAGTATTAATTGTTTTCATGGTGCCAAAATTCAGTATGAATAGAGAATTTTTTTTTATCGATTGGAGCGCACGAAAGGGAATCCCTATAATGATCAAAGAACATCGTGCGTTCCTAGGGAGGATAGGGCCAGGAGGTAGGTATTGGAATTTTTTTTGAATTTTTGGAGATTATATGTTGTTGGGAATACTTCCACAGGCAATGAATTCCAGAGCCTAGCCGTTCTATGGATGAAGGAGTCTTGATAAAGTGCTGTTCGACATCTTTCGAGGTTGACGACGAAAGGATGTGCTGACTGGGCTTGTCTAGTTCGTCTGATTGGTATTGCTAGTGAAGGGATGATTGCAGAGATTTCCGAAGAACATTAACCGTGAAAGTATCGATAGAAAAGTGAAAGGTCGCCGACCTTTCTACGGTGTTCCAATGATGTCAGAGAGTGAGTGAGTGTGGCGTCACCCACCAGGCGAATGGCTCTTCTCTGGATGGAACAGGCCGTATCTGCGCTTTGTAGATCATGAGGAGCTGTTGAGGTGTAAAGTAGCTTTTCGCACGGAACAAGAACCCGAGTTTTTGTGAAGCAGCTTTTGCGATGGATCTGACATGATTATCCCATGAAAGAGTGTTGCTGATGGAAATGCCGAGCATAGATATGGTGGGCTTGGTGGGGATGGTGGAGCCAGACATTACAATATCGGGCATACTGAGTTCCGCCTTTCTAGAGAAAATGCAGGCTTGAGTTTTGGTGGCGTTGAATTCAACTAGGTTGTTCGTTCCCCAGGCTGTGATTTCAGCAAGATCTTCATTGACAGCATTGACCTGCCTGCGCCGTGAGTTCTTAGTTTCCTGGAAAGAAATGGGAATTCTGGAAGAGAACGCAGTATGGAGGGTACTATCATCTGCAAAGCTGTGGATGGGGCAAGTTGTTACTCCCAACAGATCATTGATATGAAGCAGGAATAATGTTGGTGCCAAAATTGATCCTTGTGGAACGCCGGAATTGATGCCAATGGTAACAGACGATACACCGTCCACCACCACGTGAAACGATCTGCCTGAAAGAAAACTCGATAAGAGATGGCATAGCTGAGGTGGTAAGCCGTATTATGGTAGTTTGTGGAGGAGTCCTTCGTGCCAAACACGGTCGAATGCTTTCGATATGTCCAACGCGATAGCTAGAGATTCCCCGTGTTTTTCTATTGAAGATTGCCATAAATGGGTGACGTAGGCAAGTAGATCTCCAGTAGATCTTCGGTGGCGAAAGCCGTATTGTCTATCATTGATGATTTCTGAGCTCTCCAGATATTTGATAAGCTCAATATTGATGGCTTTCTCCATCACTTTGGAGATTACTGATAACAGGGCAATGGGCCTGTAGTTGTTGGGCAGGTTCTTGTTCCCTTTTTTGGGGATTGGTTGGACTCTAGCTGTCTTCCAGCATGATGGAAAAATACCCGACCTGTACGAGATGGTAAACAACTTGCAGAGAATCGGTGTTAATCCTGGTGCACATTTTTTGAGGATAATGGGTGGAATTCCATCAGGACCGTTAGCCCTATTCGTTTTGAGACCAAGCAAAATGAGAAAGCCACTAAATTTCAAAATGATTCTAATTGGGGTTATTGAGTAATCTCAATGGAAGTCTTGAAAACACCTACATTAAAATTCGACAAAGACAATTACTTTCATCCCAATCTGTCTTGAAATGAATATGAAAAATCGACTGAAACCAATAGTTCGGCTAGTGCATATCGGAACTCTTGAGTTAATGATTTTATCTCTCAGCTAACAAAGCGAGTTAAAACTTCGGAATTATTCCCCCATTCATCCAATTTATTATGTTGAAAATGGAAGTTTCCTCATGAGAATTTATGGAAAAATGAAATGCTGCCCTAATTTACTTGCTTCAGCCTGATTCGATGCTCAAATATCATGTTTTTAATGAGCATCAGCTACGAGTTTTTTTACGAGAAAGTTCGTGTCTGTGAGATATTTCACGTTAATTTGTTTTTCAGTTTATCTGAGAACTTGCTTTTGGTTCAGGTATACAATACAAATAGCATTCTGTTTATTAAATAAAAATTCCATCGCTCTTAGAGTAATATGTCACTAAGTGAGCTATCATTGGCTTTATATTAGCATGTTTCAATGGTAAATCACAAGCCTACTATTGACGAAGCAGTAGGTAATTCCATTCATTGCTCATTTATTGTTGGCGCAGTAATGACTGACTGAAGTATTCTCAGTGTATTCCCAATGGGAATCAAGTTGTTTATTCCTATACAGATAATTCTGAGGTTATGTAAAGAAAATGATATTTTACTAATATATAATAAGAATAATTATTACAATAAAACTTCTCGTTATATATCCACATCTGATTTGGTGAATCCACCATGAGTTTTTGAATTCCGTCTCTAATGAGTGATATTGTAATTCCTGGAATATCTGGAAAGAGTCAAAATTCGAGAAGTCCTCTTCTTTAGTTTCTGGAATGAAACTATTTGTGAATATAAAGTTACCTATAGATCACAACTACATATTACTTATAGCATATAAGCCTGCTGCAACAATGGTTTGATGAAAACAAAGACTCATCAAGCCGAAGCAGGTAAAATAAGTGAGATTGCTTTTTAGACTGAAACTTCTCGAAGAAGAATATCAGTTCATACAATAACTAAATTCGTTATTTCGATTTGATGAGATTGCATAATGCACTTATACAACTTTCTATCTATTCACATGTTCCAGCTTGTTCACTTCACATACACTTCTCTGACGACTCATGCGCAGAAGATCATAATGGAAGACCTATATGGAGAACACAACAATGGAGAAGATTCCTCCAAATAAATTTTCATAAAATAGGTTCGGAACTCCCCAAAGTTTTATGTCCACGCTGTACAGATAATGAAGACCGATAAAGTCCAAGTCGTTTTCATTTTCAAATTAAAGCCATTTCTAATTTGTGGGGCGGTAAACTGTGACATACATTCTGAATCTAGTCTTAAAGTAGCTGGTGGTGAAGAATATATAACTAGAGGGAATACCTAACGAATGAAAAATAGAAGAAGAAGAGGAACTGGTGAACAAAAACACACATAACCACAAATGCGCTCGGAGCAAGAATGCAGAAAGTAGTTGGCTTCATTCTGACAGGTTATGGTTTTGTTATTCATACATTGAAATATCTGGAATAAGCTCGATTCTGAACGAAAATATCATTAAATCAATGAATCACTATCGGCTACATTCAATTATACTATCCTTCCTAACTTCCTGCCATCGGTCACAACAGAATGAAGCCGACACCTATGGCTGCTTCTTCTTGTTGTGCTAGTCAGTATTTTGAGAAGTGTGGACGGACTGAAGTATTAGGCGCTGTTGCAAGATATAATCTGCAACTTTCCTAGAAAATAGATCCGGTTTCATATGATCCAGTCTTCGATATATTATAATGGCCCATTGAATTGCCAACTATGTCGTGTTTGCTAGGTATGAACTACTTACTCGAAATCCTTGATGTCACAGTCAAAGTCATCGAATTTCTCATCCAAATTATGAAGAATCAGCTTCTGACCATCATCTATGGCGACAGCAAGTAAAATGTCTTGTTCCAAGGCCATAGGACACACTGAGTATCCGCAATAATCTATGTGCTCACCAATCAGATTGACCCTGTAACATTATTGAAACAAAAGTTCAGTATCATATTTTATCGGTGATATCCGATGTGATCAAGAAGTCAACTCGAGACCCGCACTGTGTGATCTGATTAGGATTCATTTTCTCGATCGCGATTTCAACAATATATTTTCCTCAATTTTCAAATCGAACATCCCCTGCTCTGATGTATTCTTCTCAACATTCTGGATATCAGAAAACCGTTTTACTTGTCATTTCCATAAACTGTGGTACTATTCGAGTCATAGCATATTTCTTTGAACTATTTTCTTATATTCCTTTCTGTTCGCTTACATCTCGCCGATACTCACTGCTCACTCTATGAGTTCAGTCAGATACTATAAAAGTAGCTGGTCATGATCTCATCATCTTCAATATTTTGAATATCTCATCATTCAAAGTCTCAGTGCATATATAGGTCTGGTTATAAGAATCACTTCAGTGAGATCCAGAAGATTCTCATGCAATGAATTTCGAATAATATATGATTATTCTACGGTGTGTACATTTATTCAATATGAAACATGACACTTCCAACGTGTCAAGCAAAAAGTGAGAATAAAATAATATTTCATCCAAATCTAATATTTGAGTTATGAATTGAATATCGTTTGAGTTTTGGAGCATCGGCTGGAGATATAGTCCTGCACGATTCACTGTTGCGTTCCTATATAATAACAATGCTGCTATCAAGATGGCGTATGGACTTAGTAACAAAGCCCACACAGAACACATCAGCTTAAAACACTTTGGGCTGAAAGACCACATTGGAGGCGGTCGATGGCCATCAGTTGGAATGTACATACTTACCAACGAAGTACAGGGTGTCGCAATTCTCAACGTATTTTGATAATTCGCAAACTTTTCTGGAATAATTTTCCACGAATTTTTTGAATGTCTGCTTCCAAAAAAAATTTTTTTCAAATGAAATGATCGATATTTTTTTCCATTATTCGGTGAGTTCAAAAATAAATCATAATTATTGTTAAGTTTTTTCTTAGCCACCCTGTATTTTGTTGATATAAAGAAAAACTAGCAGAGGTTCAAAAAATTCGTGAAAAAATATTCCAGAAAAGTATTTAAATTACCAAAATATGTTGAGAATTGCGTGGATAAAGGGGGGTGAGATATTTAAGTGGGACACCCTGTATATATACTCTCTTTACTTCATCCAAATCCAAAATGGTGAAAAGTACGGGGTGTTCCACTTCTAACAATAATAAGGAGTTGGAAACCGAGGACACAATTATAACACCTTCATAGAATATAGGTAATAAGGAACAACTTACCTTCCAGGTACTCGTACATAAAAATCGGGTTCCTTTTTATGTATAGCGGCAAAAACATTTCGCATTTCGTTCGTCCGATCGTTTTCCGGTATTTTACTAATTGGAACGGTGTTGCCAATTTCCAAGGACGCCATTTTCAATCGCCCAATAATCGTAAACGAACAGGAATAGTCAGACTAATTAATTGAATCGATGTTTCGTATGTGCTCAACTGAATCGTTTGTTTATGGTGTTGATACCTTTAGGTGTAGCTGTAGATTTGATTATTGTACACGTCAACACGACTGATTTCCCCGTCTAAATTCCGAATATTTTGGTATTTAGTAATTATTTTATTATGTGTCGCCATCTACGAGAAAGAAGCGCAATAGCTCCTGAGTCAGAGTTGGCAACGAGAAAGAAATCTGCAAATCAAGAGAAGCATTCCTCAAACTTTATAATACTTTATCACAGTCTCTAAACCTTATAGAAATCTGTTACTGTGACGCTTAAGCTAACGAAATATAGATGTCACTGCCTCAAGCAATGACCCCGTGACTCTTCCTTGTTATGTCTGGAGTTTCGCTTCAACTACTGACATTCTCCGAAAGATGGTAGCACTGAGATATGTTAAAAATACATCTTGTAGCCTGCAAAAATTTAAAACTGAACATTTATGAATTTGATCATTCCTAAACTGTTGACACGTTCGGTTTCGGGTTTCGGCTTAGAAAAATTATCTCATTCACCAAATTTGACAACTTGCATGACTTTAATCAAATTCTAAATTCTGCGAATATAGTGCTGTTATCAATGATTGTATTAATGAATTCCATATTTTGATCAATTATCAGCAAAGAACGCAATTTATTGAAGTAATCTATAATGTGAATTCTGAAATTCGAAAATACAGGAAACTTTGAAAGTTACGTACCTTTCTATACCGGGCGACACAGACTAAGACCCCCATTTCTCCCTTGTTTATCGAGCTATATTTCTGACATTTGGAATATCGAATATGCGCACTAAAGGGCCACTTTCTCACATTCTAGGATGTTTTTTTAATATTCCTGTTTTCCTGGAAATGACATCAACTGTCGGATCAGCCAGGAATAATTATAACGAATTCAACGATACGAGGTTTGGTGGCACTCCATGCAAATTTTTTTCAAAATGTTATACATTTCCTAGCAGGCCTATCGAAGCTTTGCACTTTTGTTCTTGATAAATACTAACACCAATGTTTTATATAGACTTTATTTTTATATTGTATTTCAATATTATTACTCTCTGAATACCTACTAGGAAAATATATTTACATGTTCATCCACCTTTCTCCCTATGCTTGTGAAAAATATTACTACTGCCTCAACGTCACATTCGAACGCAAATATATCTTCGTATAATCGTTTGAAATATAATCTTATCGATCCCGATATTGTTGAACTTGTTATGATCCCTAACCGATTATGGAATGAAATACAGGGTATCCTAATTGGCAACCGAAAGTTGATGTCCTTTCCAGGAAATCCGGAAGATGAGAAAAATTCCTATGAAGCATATACCATGATCATACATTTCAGAAACATATAGTTATAGAGAAACAAAGGAGAAAAACAGGAGGGTATACCATCATATGAGTTTCTGTAACCCTGATGTATACGCCAATTCAGTTCGATGTATAGGTTATTCTACTTTCAAACCAAGATATATAACTGATGGAATATATCTACTAAAAATGCAACTTGGGACGACAAAGATGCGACAGGCTCAGAATAGATACGGTATAAATGCAGATATTTCGTTGATATGCGCAGTCTCTAAGCAATTTTTTTGGTTGCGAGAGTAACTAATTTGGTTGCGAAATACAAAGTGAAATTCTTCAGTAATTCCGACTAACGAAAAGCGACTTTTAAAATGCCAAGATCCAAAATGTAGCGTAACAGAGTAATGGTCATAGTAAAAATGCTGATGCGGATGTTCCTGCTGAATATACAGCAGTTCTAACTCCCTTACACTGATAAAACCAGATCAAGGATTTGGAGCATCAGTGAAATTGGTTACACATATCCAGAGGCGTAACTTCAAAAATAATCATCTCTCTGCCCATAACGAAAATTAGAAAAATAAAGAGAGATCAGTATGTCCATAATTTATTCATTTATACTGAATAAAATTGTGATATTTTAGAAAATAAAGTTCATATAAACATCATGTGTCCTAACTTGCTTCGTTTCCGAGATACAGGGCATTAATATTTCCATGAAAAATTATATTTTTTCTATTCATTTTCCTCAATTTCCATAGTGAATTCTGGCACCATAAAGCTTATACAGGGGTGTTATGAAAAAAAAACTATCAATACTTCCAATTTCCAAAAACGAAGCAACTAACGTAACCTCAAATTGGGACATTATTATTTTGTGAATAATCGGAAGGTCACCGTCTTATCTACGGTATTCCAATGAATTCAAAGCTGATGGCTCTTCTCTGGATAGAATCTAAGAACATCAGGGTATATTTGGGTGCTGAACCCCATATGAGGGAACAGTATTCTGGAACAGGCTGTATGCTAATAGCTGAAATCGGCTCAAAAATAGCAGCTCTTGAATTGAATTCACTCTATACTTAGTAGCGCAATAGGTAGTTGATAGTTTGCTCATGACAAAGCTGAATCTTCTCTTCCTCCCTTCAAATTCTATTCAGGAGTAAGATGAAAATTGTTATTTTGAGAGGGTGATACGTCCTTTCCTTGTTTGCGAATCACCCATATTGAGCTTTAACTACGACGCCACTGTGTTCAATAGTCTAGGCCCCGCTATATTTTCCACGTGACCGCACTTTAATTCGTTCGCTACGTCGCCCTAGTTTCGACCTTTAGTCCGTCATCATTCACACGGAAGATGTAGGGATTTAGGGAGCACGCAGTCCAAAATTGGATAGTACCTACATGGTATAATATCCGCAAAACAGGATGGTTGGATTCAAATCCACCTCTTTTTTCTACGGCTATAACACAAAATTGCTCTTGTTTTACTGATGTGCTCGATTCGTAATGAGGTACTTTGTATGTAATCAATATTCGTATCTGATATCACAATGCCTCCATTGTGTTATCATTTCAAAAAAATCTCATCGATAATGGAATGTCAAATGTGGAGCAATGACATAGCTCTGTCTAATAGATGAGCATTACTTGACAGGATATCAGATTCATAATTTTCGTTAACAGTGGGTAAATAATTAACCTCAATAAGATTATGGATCAAAATGAGAATGGAAAGAAAAAATCAAAGAAAGACCTTATATTATAAAAAATGTATATAAAAAATGTATATATTTTTATATTCTGAAATGGAAGCTACCTATACTATATTCGGTTGAGGTACGTAGCTCTATTATTATTTTGTATCATTATTTGAGATGTGTAAACAATTTCTTACAGATCACCACTTGAAATTGGAATTCACAAAGCCCCATGGCCATGGGAGGAACGTTTATTATAATTCAACCCGAGTTAATTTTTTCAAACCCGAATCCAAACCACAAGATAAAGCTCTTTGAAAAATGTTGTAACGCAGAATTCAATATTATCATACATCAAATTAATGTTCAGGGAGAAATACTGGACTGTTTAACCCTGATTAGGCTTAAATGTATGTCGATTGGCACCATTGGAAAAATTATAGCGATAAGAAAAAGTCACTATATAGGATATTATTAGTCATATTATACAGGGTGATCCACGGTGGATGGCCTATTAGAAGTATCTGGGGAACGAAAAGACAGAACATCCTGAAAATTGGGTTTCTTCGATAATTGAACATTCTCTATCCGTCTAAAATATTTTCATCGATACAGTGTTGCCACTTCTATCAGCAACAACTAGCAACTTTGTTATTTCAAATGGAACACCCTGAATTTTATTGCATTTTTAGACTATTTCTGAAGAACTGATTTCATCGATGCATCACACTTGGGGTCTAGCAGGAATCATTACAGAGATATGGGGTGTTCAAAATCGAGATTTTTCAATTTTAGGATTTTTTTGTGTCGAAACTATCCATTATCGATCAAAATGACTCACATGTCCCTATCTTAACTTTTGATTGACTATCTACTGGAATTTGATTGGAAAAAATACAGGGTGCTTCAAGATTCAGAATTCTGATCACCCTGTATCTGTTCCAATTAAATGTCAGTAGATAGTGAATCGAAAGTTAGGATGGGGACATGTGAGCCGTTTTGATCAATAATGAATACTTTCGACACAAAAAAATCCTGAAATTGAAAAAGTTCGATTTTGATCACCCTATATCTATGTATTCATTCCTGCTAGACCCCAAGTGTGATACATTGATGAAATCAGCTTTTCAAGGAGAATCTAAAAATGCAATCAAATACAGGGTGCTATATTTAAAATAACGAAGTTGCTAGTTCTTTCTGATAGAAGTGGCAACACTGTATCGATGATAATATTTTAGACGGATAGAGAATGTTCAATTATCGAAGCGTCCCAATTTTCAGAATGTTCTGTCTTATCGTCCTCCAGATACTTCTAATAGGCCATCCACCGTGGATCAGCCTGTATATATGGATGAAGTGACGTACAGGTAGATACTCGATTTTATTTTAAATTTTCCTAGGACTATTTTTGAAATCACCAACATGGAGAACTTGTCAAACTTTTCAGTTAAACCCTGTGCACAGAGTTTTGAAAGAGTCTTGCTATAGTCTCGAATCTCAAACATCGATAGCAATTCCATTAACATCAATTTTTATCAGAGGAAGTAATCTCCGGAATCAAACTGATTAAAAAAGTTGTCCTGGATACGATGCCCTCCTCTTAAATGCGATTGAATTAAAGATTGGGTTTTAAATAGGCTTTTAATCAATGTCGCGACTTCATTACGCCTCGAGATCACCGATAAACTCTTGGCGAACTCTTTTAGTCTTTTCTTCTGTTTTCTTCAGAGATTATCAAAACCTGGGGTGTTGTCTAGAGACTAAAGGATTAAGTATCTATTGAACTGCAGGAAAAAAGTCGTTCTTTTCTTACAACCCTTCTGTCTTTCAGTTTCTTTTTCTACTCATATAACTAAAATGGCATTTAGCGTACGGATACCACCCTAAATGATCGATTAATCACGGATTGACTATCTGTGATTTATTCAAAATATTAAACACGTTACCACGGCAACACGATTTCTTAAACACATTACCATGGCAACACAGTTCATTAAACACAGCTTCAGTAATTTGAGACACGTCTGGCCTGTCAATTGT